CAGGCAGCTGTTGTAATTAGAAACAGAATGAAATTCTGCTGTCTCATGATGTCTGTGTAATGGTGCTGGCAACTTTGTGTTGGCCTTAATATTTAAGCCAACTTCAGGCTTCTATTCCACATTTCACTTAAATTTTCTGCCACTTGTAGTTATTGCTTTTTTTCTTTTAAAGTTACACTTAGAAAAAAATAATAGGATACATTTGTGAATGTACATGCATATCATGAGTTTATAAAGTGCTTAAAATGAGTGCTTCTAATAGTATTAAATACATGATTTTAGGTGTCGGCACGTGTCCTTTGGTCTGGTGCAGGGCATGAAGACCAGGGCCGGTGAGGTGGTGTTTCTGGAGGACGTGCTGGACGAGGCTCGGGCCAGGATGCTCAACAACATGAGCCAATCAAACAGTAAGCCTGTCACACATTAGGCAGTTATATAACAGTAAAAGAATAAATAAATACTTATGTGTCCTTTAAGTACTGTTATGTGCCTTTCTCCAAAAGTTGATTCTTTTCATCTGGACGTAGCGTTTTCAGTGGGAGAAACGTTTCGTCACTCATTCAAGTGGCTTCTTCAGTCTCAGCTGACCGCAGGTTTCCCCAGTCTTATAAACTTGGATGAGTGACGAAACGTTTCTCCCACTGAAAACTCTACGCCCAGATGAAAAGAATCAACTTTTGGAGATTTACTTACCTGGATGATTGAGAATGCATCAAGACGTTATGTGCCTTTAAAAACAAAATCAGCACTTCAGTCCTCAATCGACTGGTGTGCAGGAGTTTTGCTTTTATCTGTAATTGTTGTCAATTGCATTTTGAAACAAGAAGATGGCGCTCTTCTCTAAAATGAGCTTGATTTACATTTTTACGTGATGAGCAGGGATGGGTATTGATAAGATTTTCACGATTCCGATTCTGTTTAACGATTCGATTCTTTATTGATTCTTTTTTTTTTTTTTAAAAGGAGAACACTAAGGTCGATTAGCTTAGAACTTTGTTTTATATCTTCTCTTTGAACAAGATAGAAATTTAGGAGTA